AGGTAAAAGAAAATTTGTTGGAGAAGCCATCGTATTTTTCATCTTTGACAATATCTTTGTGCAAATGTGCAATTAAATCCAAAATCATGCTAGATCAATATAAAGACTGACACGACAATTATTGAAATTCACAAGAAAACACCATGATTGGTACGTGTCCAGTTTTCTTGCACCCATCCGACACTCAATCCTTAGCTTAAGCATATTATGATGTAAACTTAGCATCTTACAATATCATTTTTCAATGTTTTGAAAAACGACTCAGACATCGTCAAGGGTCGAATCGGAGTTGGACCGAGTGCCAAAATTAAGTAAATACATACATGCATAAATAATAAAATATTATAACAAAAATAAATTTTTTTTTTTTTACTTTAATACTACTAATTCAAAAAAAAATATAAACCCATGTTTGTCAATTAGATTTATTATCTTATAATATATTTTAAAACTTCAAAAATTTATCATTGGGGACAATAATTTAAATCCATATAAATGTAGAGTTGAAGTAAATAATTAAACATTTGAGCCATAGGCCTTTAGCTTCCATAGCAATATGTCAAAGGAGATGTGCATGAGGATTATCTTTTAAAACTATACATGTAGCTTTATTCCCACATCGGATAAGCACAAAAAAAATTGCACGAATGATTCTCCTTTAAAAACAGCAACATGTTGAAGGCGAGTGAAACGTGCTTGACTTTGTAATTGAGTCCATTTAACAAAATCGAAATCAATTTTTTTTAAAAAAAAAAAATAGAAAAGACACTTGTATAATTGGAAAAAACCATGATCGTTTTTTGGTTTGCGATTAACAGGGTGATTTATTAGTTTATGGAAAAATTTCATAATTAAGAGGTTTAATTTTACTAATTTCAAATTTAAGANNNNTACTAATTTCAAATTTAAGAGATTACGTTTAAAATTTCAAATTTCAGAGTTTTTTTTAATTTTATTTATAAATAAATAAATTAAATATATATTTTATTAATTAAATATATTGAAGTCACAATTCCATATAATTCGATCATAAATTTCATATAATTGATCACAAATCACAATTTTCATATGTCATAAATTATTTTGCGGTCACAATTCAAAAATTTTATAGGTCACAAATTAAAAATTTATATGTCACAATTTATTATTCATCGTTCACAAATCTATTAAATTAATAAGTCACATATTATTCATTGATCACAAATCACAAATTTTATATGTCACAAATTATATTACGGTCACAATTCAAAAATTTTATCGATCGCAATTTGTTCATCGATCACAAATAAAAAATTTATACGTCACAATTTATTTATCAATCATAAATCACAAGTATTATAAGTCACAACTTATGAGACGGTCACAAATTTCCAAATTATCAGTTACATATTAACAATTTTTTAGGTTACACATTATTTTTAGGTTACAATTTATCCTTTTCATTGGTCACACACCAACCAATTTAATGATCACAATCAACAAAACAATTTGTGACCACCACCACCTCACCACTGC